AATTTAGCTTTTCCGGAAGTTAGGTATTCTTCTGTTTTTTCAAACAAGCATTGATTGTGTTTTTTTTTGCTTATACATTTTCTTGATTGCTTTTTTGGGTTCCTCAAATCATTCTGGTATGTCCTTTTTACCGATCTATAAATACCTCTGTTCATTTGACACATCCTGTTCATTTCCCCTCCCCCCTTTTTTTTCTCGCCTCACCGGGTCCCTCAAGGCGTTTTTGTTTTTGATTGTCATTCATTTTACTTTTTTAGGGCTCCGTGTAACTCAGTACAGAATGAGTTCATTTCGTCTTTTCATTATCATTGCCTTGCCGTGTTTATCTGATTACATGAAATTTGATTTTTTTGTGATGCAAGCCAAATTCTTAAGGTAAAAAACATGTAACAGTCTCTGACCTAGATCTCTATAATTTGTACAGAACTTGTACAGAATCTACACATTTTTGTTCATTCATAATTTGTTTGCTCGTTTAACTTGCGTTGTTCTAACATGACAGTTTTTGAATGAAAAATTTATCAAAATTGCATTGTACAGCAAAAAAATCCAGGTTTCATCATCTGCTGACACTCATTTACGAAAAAATGTTGGAAAATACAGGTGAGCAACAGTTTCTTAACTACTGTTATCAGATCCACCAGACAATTATCACGAAAACATCAGATTACCGGTAATATGTCCTAACTTGTGTACATAGCAGAGCATCGCATGCACACATGCCAGAGGGGCTCGGCGTTACTCCTCGAAAATTCGAAAGAAAAGCGTGTTTTTCAGTTTGGCATGCTTTTCATACCTTCAAAATATTCGCACAACAATGCATTATTGTTTGAGACTATAAATTTGCCCGCAAGTAATACCAAAAATTTGTCTTTCCAAACAAAAAATCAATCTGCTGTAAAAAAAAATCCAGGTGCAATTATTATGAAAAAAATCTGCTAACCAAAAAAAATCAAAGGTTCGACTTCACTTCTGAGGTTCAAGCTTCGCTGTGCGATTCGTTCATTCGTTTTCGTGACAAACTGGTGCTGGCGTGTGCCAAGAAACCGAAATCACTGCCAGCATGATACTTCTAAGCAATCCTCGAAAGAATGCGCCATCGATATCCTTGCTGGGCTTATAGTTGCTGCTGGCAGTTACCACCACTCGTTCTAATTTCGATCCCCTTCAACTCTCACAGAGAATACCTTGAATACCTTGAGCAGCTGTTGTTTCATCGACCTCTGATGTCACGCCATCGATGCAGCTGGCAACTTCTCCATTTTGATCGATCCTGAGCCTGACGAGACCAGGTGACACCATAAAGGCACACGATTGGATCTCGCCATCGTGCTGGTACGAGACCAGGTGACACCATAAAGGCGCACGATTGGATCTCGCCATCGTGCTGGGGGCCTCCCCAGCGTTCGTTTCATCGCGCGTGGGTACCACTCCATTATCCGCTTCGTCCGTCGGTTGTCTTACATCCTTGCCACATGATCAGCCCCACAGAGAATAAAGAAACTAATTTGACTTTTTGACGAAACACAACAGATGAACTAATAAGGAACAGAAGGGTCGGAAAGGAATGAAACATGCCTAGCTACTGTCTTCGGCATGAGGCAGATCCAGGAAAAGAGGGACGAGGGACGAAGGGTCCTTCGGCGCAGGCACCAGTGCTGCAAAAGCTCGGGTCTAAAGCTAAAACTAAAGCCTAAGGTAACTACTCTAAGTAGCAGTGTGTTACAACTCTATTCCTAGTTTTGGAATAGTTCCAAGGTGGGGGGCTCTCTCTCCAGCCCCTGTCGATCCACTCCCCTCTCGCCCTCCCCCCCACCTCTCGTCGTTCCCTACAGGATCCCGTCCTGGATCTGCCTATGGCCTTCAAGAAACAAAAAAAAAAAGAAAAAACACAAATGATGCGGGAAAATCAGAATCACAACAACCACGTGATATAGCTTTATTCATAAAACAGTAGTGAAAAGGTTGTGAGGCACTCGTTGAAATAACGCTTAACTGAAGCAGGGAGGAGTAGTGAGAATCCTAATTCTCTGTATTAGTTTTCGATTGTAGCCTCTGTAAATTAGCCATCTGTTTTTGG